CCAAACAGAGGAGGCTTTGAACGGTGTCATCGGGGGTCGAAGTGACTTCCAGCTGTCTGTGCGTGGGCCAGGCCTTCTCGCAGGGCAAGGGATTGTGCTGTCACACAAACCCGCTGTGTGTATGGGCTCCCAGAGCCGTGTGGGGGCCGCACGTTCTGGGGCTGCACCTGCAAGGAGGCAAGCCCGGGGGTGGGGACTCTTGGGAGGCCAAACTCTGTGGCTCTGGGCTGGGTGGTTTCCAAGGCTGCTCACTGCCTCGGGGCTTTTTAACTGAGGCTCGGTCTCTTTGTGACTTCCTCTCCCCTGGTCGGTGGTGAGAAGAGATGAGGAAAGCCACCGGCCAGAGAAGTTGAGTGTTGTAAAATGTGACAATATTATTATTGTTGTTGATCTTGACATCCTCCTTGAGAAATTCTTTCAAGTTTGCCTTGTTTATTTTTTTTTAATATTTCCAAATTTGCTTTTTTCTTCCGGTATGAAAAGTAAAAATCTTTGAATTGGCTTTCCCCCAAGTGTTCTGTCTGCTTCACCGTGGTCTAGAAGTGTGTTATGGTAGATGAAAGAAAAATAAAGTCTTGCTATTTGAGGTTCAAAAGAATCACCAAGAGTAAGTGTCAGGCATCAAATTATCATGTGCATATATATAAACTGAGATTCAGCTATCTTTCTCTTTAAAATACAGGGTAGAGCAAAAGTAGATTTACAGTTATTCATATGGAAAATAATACAATAATTAATAGATAATAATATAAGAATAAACGGTGTTTTGTGTACTCACAACTGTAAACCTACTTTTGCTCCACCCTATATATGGAAAAGTCTCCCCGCAAATCACGGATTGCTCAAATAACATAGCTGTTGCTGCTGCCCGATGATTTTTCTGTGATGACGTTGACACTACCTCCCCTTTTGTTTTAACAGCTTTATTGAAGTATAATTATATACCATAACATTTACTCACTGTCAATGTACAATTCGATGAATTCAGTACATTTCTGGAGTTGTGCAGCCACTACCAGAGATCAATTCCATCTCCCCAAAAAGAAACTTTGTGCCCATCTATAGTTATACCCATTTCCACTCCCAGCCCTAGGCAGCCAGGGGTCCGCTTTATCTCTGTACATGTAAATGGACTCATGCAATATGTAGTATTTGCACATGGCTTCTCTCATTTGGTATAATGTTTTCGAGGTTTATCTATATTGCAATTACTATATGTGCAATTACTATATTGCACGTGTTAGTAATTCATTCCTTTTCACTGCTGAACAATATTTCTTTATATGGAGGTATCACAATGTATTTATCTATTAACCAGTTGACAAACATTTCTTCCCAGTTTGGGGCTGGAAATATACTGCTGTGAATATTTGTATACATGTCTTTAGCTGGATATGTTTTTATTTTTCTTGGATAGTCTCAGGATTGGAATTTCTGGGTTGAACAGTAAATTTATATTTAAGTTTTGAAAGAAATTGCCAAACTCTTTTCCAAAGTGGTTACCCAATTCTATATTCCCATTGGCAATGAGCAAGGATTTCAGTTTCTCCACATCCATGCCGACACACGGCATTATCTATTGAAAATTTTTTAGCCATTCTAGTAGGTATGCAGTGGTGTCTCATTGTGGTTTTAATTTGCGTTTTCCAAATAACTAATGACATTGAGCATCTTTTCATGTGTTTAGCGGCATCCGTGCATGTTGTTTGGTGAAATGTTTTCTAAAATATTTTGCTCATTTTAAAGTCAGATTGTTTGTCTTCTTATTGAGTTGTAAGGTTTACTTTATTTCTTAACTTAAAAACTTTGGTAGGATTTTAACTTTGCAAATCCAATTTTGAAAGTAGGCTGTGGGATGAGACGTTTTAGTACTACTATACCTCCTGTAAGAGGGCTTTGAAGTCTTTCCTCCTACACAGCATCCTGAGGCTGGGGAGGCAGGCAACCTTCACTGTTAGAAGAGGAAATCACTGCCCAGAGAAGAAAAGTGAGGGGTTCGGGTTACCAACTTATTGCCTATAACACCTGGATCTGGAGTGTGACCCCGATGGAGACTGGGAGGCCAGGGGCACATGTGGAAGCGTTTCTGTCTCCCCAGGGCCCCGTGTGGGGCCTGGTGCTGCCCGAAGGCTTGCCAGCAGGCAGGACCGATGTGGACCTTGGACCCAGGCCTTGGAAGGAAGCACTTGTTTGCTGGGTCAGGAGCCAGGTGCCCAGGTGCCCGGAGATGATGGTCAGAGGGTCCTGTTGGCGTTGGCCTGGCCTCCCATCCTTTGGGCATGCTGGATCTCACAGGTGGCTCTCCTGGCAGCAGGGTACCGTGCTTTTCGCACTTCATAAAGATTTCCACCTCGGGCCTCCCCGGGGCAGTGCAGCTGCGTCTCCTCACCCTCGGTGACCCTATCCTGCAGACAGACCCACTCCCTGCACGTGGCTTCATGCTGTGTGGCCTCTGGGCCTGCATCTGGGCAATCTTGGAGGTCCTCAACCTGCGTGCTTTCCCAGGAGACCGGAAGCCCTTCCTCCTCTCCCTGGGCAGCAGGCATTATGGTCTGGCCGCTGGACCAGATGGGCAGCCCCCTCCCCCCCGGGCTCTTATCTGGATGATGAGAGGGGTAAACAGAATGTTTCTGTTGTTCTGCTCCAGAGAGAGATACAGCTCTTGGAATACGGGAGGATTTTAATTGAATATTACAATGTCACATAAGCCATTTTCCACTGAGGTTCTCACTCGGCATTGTCCCTCTGGCCGTGCGTGACTTCTCGCTTTCCCTTTGTGGCCCTCGACGCCCCTCCGCCCTGTGCGAAGGGCCTGCACACACTGCGCTGGGCCATTCGGGCTCTGAACTCTGCACCCAGCGGCAGCAACCAAATGTGTATTGCAGCTGCCAAAAGACTTCATTCAGTGGCTCGTTGAAGTCAATGGAAGGAGGTGTTAATAGGGTCAGGGGAAGTGATGCTATTAAAAATGACATTGTGTGGCTCTGCTCCGTGTTTATCCTCCCTCAGTGACTTCCAGACAAACTCACCCAGCTTGGCATCAGAGATGCCTGCTCCAGACTCAGTGTGAGGCAAATAAGCACTCCAGCTCGGTTAGTTACTCTTCTCTTCCTGCTGCGTCTTATCCCTTGGGATGGTGGTCAGGTGACTCAAGGTCACCTTGGCCCCTGTGGGAGGTCAGTGTTGGTGTCAGCACATGAGAATAATAGCAGGGTCAGGTGTCACACAACTGTCGGATCGCCGGCCTAAGCCTCCAGCAAGGATTAGGGCCTGCACAGCTCTCCCATCTTAAGATCCCAAGGGTCAGGTGTTGGTGCAAGAAGGGGATCAGGGCTCTGTTCTTTTTGGCTCTCTGGACGTGATGCAGGGAAGTCAGCCAAAGGTTCTGGAGCTCCGAATGGTGCCGGGGTTGTTATTCCTGATGATCTGACTGGCTTTGCAGAGACTGAGAACTCGCATTCTCCACAAATAGTTAATGCTCGGAGAATAAAGTGTTCAGTTCTGAGAGACCTCTGGGGGTCTTGGGAAGAGAGAGATGTTGTAACTATAAAAATGTCTGCGACCACAGCGCCCTCCTTCCTCCCCGCACTGAGGGAGGAAACAGAATTCTCTAAACTATGCATTCTCAAAGGGGGCGAAGATACCTGCTCCCAGCTGTTGTCAAGGAGGCAAACATTGGTTCTGGGCATTGGTTTGGGGTGGGGGGAGGGCCCGGTGGGGAGCATGCTCTGTTTACATATAAAGCACAGATATACATACAGTACATGGAGTGTATCTTTTATTAGGGAAGTGATTAGGAGAAAAGTGTCTACAAATGCTCCTTAGGTGAGTAATAATGGGGGGGGGAAAGGGGTTGAAAACCACTGCTGCAAACTAAGGTTTATTTTGATGAAAATAGCAGAGACCTGAAAGATGAGAAAGCGGCCAACCCTGCCAGGATGGAGGGTGTCAGGACTTGGCTGCTGGGAGCTCCCTGCTCCCATCATCTGGGTTAGACGTTGGAGAGTGAATCCAGGGTGCAGTCTCCCACGTCCCCGCTCATGTTTGCCCCTCCTCTCACAGGGGCTTGTGGTACATGCTATTTCACAGAGGTTCCCAGTTCTCTTCAGTTCAGCATGCTGGAGAGAGAATGGTCCTTCCTGCCTTCTCTTCTTATTCATTCTGAAATTGTATTTAATTTTAAATTCTTCAATTACAGTTGACATACAATATTATACTAGTTTCAAGTGCAGAGCATAGTGACTTGGCATTTATATAACTTGCAAAGTGATCGCCCTGATTAGTCTAGTTCCCATCAGACACCCTACATAGTTATTACAATATGATT